GCTTTTGTTTCATATATTGACATATCTGAGATTTTTCTTATTCAGGAACTTGAATCATAGTTACCATGTAATGCTGTCAAAAATTCATTTCTTGGGTTACTAAACCATTATTTATGGTGTTTGGTGTCCATCTGGGTTATGAATATCAACAAATTCCATAAAATATGCACTTTTCAAAATTTAATGTCATATTTTAAAATACCCTAATGTTACAGTAGTATCATGTAGTCACTTTAAGTATTAGAGAAGGTATGTTAGAGGTGATTAGGTCTATAGACTTCTGTTTAGAAATGTAAACACTGAGGCAGAGTGACTTTTTAATGCTCAGAACCTGTCTTCTGGCCCTCAGGCCAGGGGCCTCTCCACAACTCCACACAGTTTCATTTTCTCTGCCATCTGAATAGACTGTAGACTTGGGTGAGGTTTATTAAGAAGACTGCAAACGGCCTGTGCTGCTAGGCCTGATATAAGTATTCTTAGAGTAAAACCCCTAACTCTTCTAATCCATCAAATGCAAAGTGTTTGTATCACCTCAACCAGCTCTGTTATGCAGTATTAGTAGGCGGATGACTTTCTAGTTTTCAATATTAAAACACAAATTAACTGAGGACTTTGGTCAATAATTAGTCAACTTTCTGAGTTTTATAAGGTACTGATATCATTTACACATTATTTTTGAAGCACTTACAGCGTTCTAAGCCATGCGTTAAATCCTTCAAATGTTTCAGTTATTTCTCACAATCCATTTTACAGAGGAAGAAACTGAAAAGAAGATATATCAGTGCCAAAGAGTTATAAGGGCTGGCTATCATCAGGAGTAGAATCAGACTCTTAACTACCAACTGACTTAACATTACCTAAATTTGGCAGCAGCTGCCACAGACCCAGAGAATTTAGATGATCTGTCCAGAATTATTAGAGTAGTGGGAGATGCAGACGAGTCACACTTTAAATCCAATGCTAATTATTTTACAATGCAGATGCTTTTAGAATGGCTCCTTCTGCCAGTTTAGGTGAGTTCTTAATCTAATATTTGTCTTACAATTTAAAAACATCATTTATGTACTTAGAGAAGTAGGGAGTTTTAAAAGATGATATAGACATTTTAATTTTTTTGACAAAATTATTTTATTTTTTTAAAATAGCTGTTTAATTTCTATGGTAATGCTGCATGTTAAGCCAGCCCTTTTTTATACTTGCAGGTAGCAGTGCTTTTATTCATAATGTGAAAATTTTGAGGCTTTCTGGTGCGGAATTGGTATTTTCATCTGCCTATTATGCTTGTTACATTGCGTTATACAAGTGAGATTTTTCAAAAGTCCCTGATATTAAATAATGATTTATTCTTTATCATTAAGGCAAATAGGCTGACAATGTAGTGAAGCTCATTTTGCTGCCCCCCTTTTTTTTTTTACTTTATTTTATGGAAGCTAACATTAATTTCACTGAAGGAGAAAAATTAAAATTGCCTCGTTGACAAGGTAATGTCCGTTTTTCCCTCATAGAAATTAAATAAAGTAAAAATCTTAAGTGACTTTCCAGGTTTCAGTTGTGCTTTTAGAAAAATGCATAACAAGTTCTCAAGGCTTTGTTTTCAAGATAAATCTTTTTGTTCTAAAGCATTTAGTTTTATGTTTAAGAAATTTAGAGTTGACTCATCTTTTTTTGAAATTTAGAATTGACTCATCTTTTTTTCTATCTTCTCTCTCCTCCAGCTCTTTCTCTTTGTTGTCTGGAACTTTGAGCTCTACATGATACCACTGGTTTTATTGTTACTATTGACATGGAACTACTTCTTGATAATATCAGGGAAAGATAACAGGCAACGTGATACAGTAAGTCTCTATTTTCTTATTTGTCTGTGTTTTTGTTCTTATTCCTAGTCCCTCTGACAAGATCAACATTGAATTTGTTTTTACAAACCAGAAATTCTGTCCATAAATACCCAAGTTTGGAGGAAGATTTTATCAGTTCAAAACTAACATCAATTAAAAGATGATATAGACATTTTAATTTTTTTGACAAAATTATTTTATTTTTTTAAAATAGCTGTTTAATTTCTATGGTAATGCTGCATGTTAAGCCAGCCCTTTTTTATACTTGCAGGTAGCAGTGCTTTTATTCATAATGTGAAAATTTTGAGGCTTTCTGGTGCGGAATTGGTATTTTCATCTGCCTATTATGCTTGTTACATTGCGTTATACAAGTGAGATTTTTCAAAAGTCCCTGATATTAAATAATGATTTATTCTTTATCATTAAGGCAAATAGGCTGACAATGTAGTGAAGCTCATTTTGCTGCCCCCCTTTTTTTTTTTACTTTATTTTATGGAAGCTAACATTAATTTCACTGAAGGAGAAAAATTAAAATTGCCTCGTTGACAAGGTAATGTCCGTTTTTCCCTCATAGAAATTAAATAAAGTAAAAATCTTAAGTGACTTTCCAGGTTTCAGTTGTGCTTTTAGAAAAATGCATAACAAGTTCTCAAGGCTTTGTTTTCAAGATAAATCTTTTTGTTCTAAAGCATTTACTTTTATGTTTAAGAAATTTAGAGTTGACTCATCTTTTTTTGAAATTTAGAATTGACTCATCTTTTTTTCTATCTTCTCTCTCCTCCAGCTCTTTCTCTTTGTTGTCTGGAACTTTGAGCTCTACATGATACCACTGGTTTTGTTGTTACTATTGACATGGAACTACTTCTTGATAATATCAGGGAAAGATAACAGGCAACGTGATACAGTAAGTCTCTATTTTCTTATTTGTCTGTGTTTTTGTTCTTATTCCTAGTCCCTCTGACAAGATCAACATTGAATTTGTTTTTACAAACCAGAAATTCTGTCCATAAATACCCAAGTTTGGAGGAAGATTTTATCAGTTCAAAACTAACATCACTTTGGTCCTAACATAATAGAAAGTATTCTCTATTTTTAACATTACTCATCTAGGTAGGAACTAACATTAGGAGCACACCAAAATATGAGCTATGATTTTTAATTATAAATGGATTGTTTCGAATGATTATTTCTTTTGTTCTCTTTATTCATTTTTCTGTCTTACTGAATCCCAGATTAAGACATACTGTCATAAAATTATCAATGATCAGACCAAACGAAATGTATTTTATTTAAAACATGTCTCTAGTCTGTCATTGGAACATAGGAAGTATTGACAATGGTTACTGGCCTGGAAAAGGACATAGGGTATCTTAATCCAATGAACATTCACCAAACAACAGCAGATATCCTTCTCTGTGTCGGAGGTGTATCTCAAGGATAAAGAGCTTTCATTTAACGTAGGGAAAAGTTATACTGAACCCACCTTCCTCTCTGGCATTTTTGAAAGTTTTTAGGATGTGTGAGACCACCTTTTTTCACTTTTGATTTATAATCAGGACCTTTTGCCAACTACTGTGACTGTAATAATGCAAGAAACAGTCATTTGATCATCAGCTTAATAGTATTATGTAATACTTTATTATAGTTAGCATCATGATGGTTGCATGGACATACTTGTGATATTAAAGAAATTTCCCTTTTAAATAACACAATAAAAATACACTTTGGTAAACAAGCAAAATATACTTCTTCGAAATAATTTTCTTTATCATCAAAATAAAATTCCTGATGCACAACTACCAAGTACATGACAAATTTGCAAACAGTATACCTGTCTGTCTCTCTCAGTAGATTATAAATTTGAGAGAGGGGACTGTGTCCATCTTTGTACTTGCCACTATCTCTAACATGTGTTTTGCAAATTAGAGGTGTTCAAAACATTTTTTAGAAAGTTTATCAAACCAAGCATAAGATTGCTAATAGAGGTTTTAATGGTTAGGCAGCATCAACAGATAAGAAGTTATTATTATTGGCGAGGATTTTATGGATATATTTTAAAATTGAACACTGAGAAACAAGCCCCAAATGCCATAAGCATTGGTGTCATGGGGACTCATAGGTACTTTTGTCAATTAATCCAGGATGTTTTAAGAAAATAGGACTCTCTCAGACAATTGCTTTTTGGTCCCATTTATTTCAGGAAAATTGTCGAGAGAGAAGAATATCTACTTTTCATTCAGTTGCCTTGAGACAAATTTGTAGATAAGACTATTTGCAAATAGAAAAAGTGGTACTTTAGTTTCAGCTTTCTAATCCTATAAGGGGGGTTAACTTCAATATTTAGTCATTGGTTTGAGTATTCTTAGTGAAAAATTCTGAAACTATAGACTTTGCTTGTTACCTTCTCCAGAATATACCTGTCTTGGCTGGAAAGATCCACTTCTAGAGGGGAAATAATAATATCTAATATATCCCCTTGAGCTTAAAATTCTCTAAGAATTTTTATAAACCTATTGAAGGGTTACATATTATGCAAATTTTACTACTTTCTTTTTCCCCCCAAAAATATAACTCCAAAATAGTATTTGCCAAATCTTTTAGGCACATCTCTAACAGACTCCCCCTTTTAGCCATGGACATTTTACTCCCCAGCATAGCCCGCTGTGAAACATTGTATAGTCTAACTTTCATGGAATGCCAGCTACACTCCATATCTCCCAGTAATTGCCTTGTATTTGCCCAAAACACACATATCCACATATTCTGTTCTTTTGAGGCACCAGAGCAGCAATCACGATGTTTTATTCAGCTTCTCATTCACCGGCTCAGTTGAGACCTTACGTAACTCTTAAATCCAATTTGCCTAATTATGTGTTTTCTGCCATACCCAGCTGTGCATTTGAACTGATCGCTCTTTTTGAAAAGAAACCTGAATTATACCTTGCTGGTTATAGATTTTATTTATATATTTATGTATGTATACATACATACATAGACATACACATATACACACATATGTACACAAACACATATGTATATGTGTGTATACATACATACATATACATTATACGTACATACGTATATATTCAAGCATACATACATATGTATGTAAATTAAAGGAACGTGTCCATAACAATTGCCATGCTGTGCCTAAGTGACTCTGTTGCACAGTGCATAGCCCCGGAAGAATAGTCTTTTGCCCTGTCTTTATTGGTACCCCTAAAACAATGCAGAATTTTTAAAGCATGTATAAAAACTTTAGGGAATGACTGAAGTGCATTAACTATACTGTTGGCTGATTCCAAATCATGAAAATTTCTGGGTAGGTGTGTGTGTGTATGTGTAGAGAGAGAGAGGAGGAGAATACAAATGAATTTTCTGTCACAAAAAAAATCATCTGTATATTCAGCTGAGAAAATTCATTTGGGATGAAAATTGTTTTAAAAACATAAATCAAAATGACTTTCAGGTTTGTATAGCAAAGAGAGAAAAGAAAATATTTCCATTATATAAGAAGTTAAAAGAGAAAAGAAAAATACTGTGAAAGGTGAAAAGTGCACAGATGGGTAAAAATTCCATCTTCAACATAATGGTTGGTAGTTGAGATTAATACTGCAATAGGCAAAGATTTGTTTGTGTGTTTGTTGTTTATTAAGGAGACTTTTATTTCTTGGAGACTTAAGATCATAGAAGCTGAAACCCCCTATCTTTTCCCCGCCATGGTGCCTGCTCTAGTTTAATGATAAAAATGAGATATAATCCTTGCTGAGTAAGTTTTGCCGCCCTTAACGAGGTGAATGCAGTGAGGACGGGATAAGAAAGCAGCCATTCCCGAGACTAATGCCTTGGACTGGGAGGTGCACATGAGGAAAAGATGTGGTTAGAAATGGTATTTCACTTCTGTTTCCCATTTAGACTTGTTAAAAATAAGCTGTCCTACCTTTGAATCTACCTATGCTCGGATCATAACATTAAAATTTCTAGCATGAGAATTATTAGGCTTTTCCAGAGAAAACCGTTTAATACAATGCTTCATTCACAAATGTATCTGGCATGAAGGAGATATAAAGATAGTAATGTCTCTTGGTTTAAATTTCTTTTGGTTTGAACTGTCACTCCAAAAACATGGGAAAATCCTTCCCCCTGCCCCCATACACACACCCTGCACAGCCAATCCCCATCACAGTCACTATGGGCTGAAATTTTTTTGAGTTGAAGAGTAGATGCTAGGAAGCGCCCTTTACTTTGGCCTTTACTTACTGCTGAATCCTCATTACACCCTGTGTACCGTGTTAAGCACTTCTTTCCTGTCATTTAGTCCTCCCCCAGGAGAGAAAAGCTGATTGTGTCAGCCCAGCCAATGGGTTGGAGCCTCCTCAGTCAAATGACCCTCGATCTCTTCCTCTGTGACAAGCAAGGGAACATACTCACATGGAATAAACATGGCTAAAAGAGCCCTTCCTTGACAGAGGAGAACCAGCTCTCAGAGAATGAAAGAAATGGGTTGGCCATCCAAACCTGGGTATATTCCTCTCCCTAAGAGAAGTATCATTATTACTACTTTGTATCTGTGGAAACAGGACACGCAGGGAGTGGCAGAATGGGTATTAGAATCTGTCAATCTGTCTAAAGTTTGTACTGTATGTCTTACCACTAGTCAATCGCAGTTCCTTTGGGGGCTATATTTTGATACCTCCCAGGTCTCCCTGGGTACCTTTAGAGCAAGTTTCTCCCTTCAGTTACAGAAAAGCCAGTAGCACTAATTCTACCATTAAGCAGGCAGATCAATAGGAAACACTTATTTTCCTCACTTTATTCCCCCCCCCCACCCCCCGCCAATATCCCCCTCACCTCTCATTTGGGGAAATGGAGCAGATATTTATTAAGCCATTTCTATGTATCAGGTATTCTGCTAAGCCTTTTAGAGACATCTCTTTTCATTATAATAAATATATCAAGTTAATTATTCTAAATGGTTTTATCCTTATTTGTAAAATGAGGAAATTCAAAATCAAGGAGGACGAATAATGAACTCCATAGAGTAAGCCAGTTCTGCCCTGTTCTAAAACCCCAGGCTATTTCCATGGTACATTCTTGGGCATGCCTTTCCTAAGGGATCACTTTCTAAGTGTCCAGGTCCTTACATGTAATACCTAATGTCCCCAAGTTCCTTCTTATGGGGACATGATCCAATGATCTCTCAAGAATTAGTGCTGTTCACCTGTTTGACCCTAGGTGACCCCATTAATTTCAGAAACATTCATGACCTGGAGGACAACCTGTCCACCCAGGTGAGCATGGGAAGAATAAATTAAAGCTGAAAATCCTTCACATTATTAAAGAAAGTCTTTGAATATCTGTGACATACAGAAATTCAACAGTGTTTTTTTAATTACACTTGAAATAAACATTTCTTTTTACTGTCATGATATTCTTCCCACAGAACAATCTCAGTTGCCTAATCGATGGAGGCATTAAAAGACCAAAGAGCAGGGTAGATCAATGAAATCATTCTCTGACTCAGGATCTGACTATGACACACATTGAGCCAAAGTCTGCTTGCAAAATGCTTTAGTAAATACTGAAATGTTTTGTTAGCTCCCTCAAATGGCAAAGCCCTCAAAGCTTCTTTTCCCATTTTGAATATTGTTTCTTGTTCGGTCTGTTCCAATTAGGCCCAGAGCACTTATCTCTAGAAATAAAGCTTGTAAGGAGAGAATTTGCTTTTCCTTTAAAAAAAAAAAAAATTAAATTTGTTGGAGTAACATTGGTTAATAACATTATATAAGTTGCAGGTGTACAATTCTGTAGTACAGTGTCTGTATATTGCATTGTGTGCTCACCACCCAGAATCTAGTCTCCTTCTGTTACCATATATTTAACCCCCTTTACCCTTTTAATCCT